ATAAAGACCAATTTGAATTAATAGCAAGAGTAATAACAAATCTAATTGTCACCATCTTTGCAACATGATAAAAAGTATCATCGTAGTCAATTCTCTCTCGTTGATTGTAACCCTTAGCAACCAATCTGGATTTATGTCTCTCAATCTCTCCATTTGACTTCTATTTAATTTTGTACACCCACATACATCCTATAGGTTTTCTATCAGGAGGCAAATTTGTAACTATCCAAGTCTGATTCCAATACAATGCCTCCATTTCCTCATTCATGGCTTTAATCCAATTTAAATCATTTGCAACCTCAAAATAAGTCTGTGGTTCACCAATTTTATTTATATTTGAAATAAAATGTTTATTTTCAAAATCAAGAAAAGCATAACTAGCATTTCTTTCAATACCATATTTATACTTTCCCTTAATTATATAATCACTGAATTTTCGAGGCAATTTAGACTCACGACTATACCTCCTATTACCTACAAAATGATTTTCATGAAGATTAGATGTAGAAAATATATTTTTCCTCAAATAGATTGGGAATTTATAAAGTAACCATCTCATGCTGCAAAGTTCTTGCCATATCATCTTGAATACCTTACTGACCTGATCCAGTTGCACCCAAAGAACATGTACAATCGTGATCAAAATTAGTTGCATTCAAGGAATGATTTGCATCAACATTTCCACCATGATTGTTGCTACTATAACTTCTCATGGAATGATTATCATTCACTATATCATATACAATCAACTCATCACATGAAAAAGGATCCCAAGGAAAAGAACAATCAGAAAAGAATCATCAGAAAAACACCATCAGATTTAGAAGCCATTTTGTATGGAAAAACAGATTCATAGAGCTTCACATCCCTGGAAAAGAAAGAAATTATATTATCAAGACTATAAAGTTTATACCCTTCTTTTCTCATTAGAATAGCCAATTAACACACACTTCTTTGACCTCTTAGAAAATTTGTCTGAAACATTAAGTTTAGCAGCAAAGCATAAATAACCAAACACCCTAATATTATCAAAAATAGGATAACGCTTATAAACCAACTCAAAAGGTGACTTCCCTTTAAGAACAAAAGAGGGAAGTTTGTTTATTAAAAAACAACATTAAGAACCGCATCTCCCCAAAACTTTATGAGTAACCCAAACTAAAACAATAAAGATCTTAAAACATTTGCAAGATGTCTATGTTTTCTTTCAACAACACCATCTTGTTGTGGTGTATAAACACAATTGGTTTGATGAACAATCCCTTTGCTTTCAAAAAAATCATTATAATATTATCACATTCAGTTCCATTGTTTGACCTCAAAATCTTAATTTTAGTACTAAACTAATTCTCATGAAATGTATAAAAACTTTGAAAACAAGTGAAAACTTCTTCTTTGGTTTTTAACAGATATACCCAAGTTGCCCTTGGAAAATCAACTATAGTTAGAAAAAACCTAAAACTCCCATAAGTAATAACTTTGTAGGGGCCCCAAACATCAACATGAACAAGTTATCCTATGAAACTGGTTTATGTGAAGGAAAATACTCTCTAGTTTGTTTAGCTTTATGATTCACTTCATAGGGATGAATAAATTCATTACCAAATTTCAAGGAATCTTTTAAATAGTTTAAAGCTTGATCAACATGATGCCCAAGTCTATTACGCCAAATTAACTTTGAAACAAAACAAGTAGTAGACTTAGACAACAAGGACCTACCACTATTTTTACTATTAAAACAGTAAAGTACTCCAAATTCATTACCAATATCCACAATCTCCTTGGACAACGAATCATGAACAACAAACTTATGTTCATTAAAAACAACTTGACACTTATTATCCCTACATAATTTGTGAACAAATGAAAGATTAACATGAAATTCTGGAACAACAAAGACATCAAGTAAGGATATAGAATTAGACAAGTGCATATTTCCAAATTTATTAACTCTTGTAGTTGATCCATTTGGATGATCAACTTTAAGATTTAACTTAGAAATATCCACAATATCAACTAATTGTGATTTAGCAGTAGTCATATGTTGACTAGCTTCTGAATCTACAACCCAATTAGTATTACCAGAAAAAAACATTATTACAAGTAATCTTGTGGCTAGGCTTAATATTCCTTCAACTCGTTGTCCTTTATGTCATAATATGGAGGAGAGCTCGGAGCATCTATTATTCTTATGTGATTATGCTAGAGACATTTGGAGATGGTTTATTGGATGGTCTAATATCTAGAATGATATTCCTTCTTCATGATCTAATCTTATGTCTAGGCTCGACTCAACAAGTGTGGGAAAAGGTTTGAAGAAATTGCTCATGTCACTTGTTTATTCGCTATTATGGATGATTTGGAAGGCGTGAAACGTGTTAGTTTTCAGAAATGAAAGGTGAGCTATATTGAACGTGGCAGACGATATTTGCATTAGCATTTTTAATTGGATTAAGTGTAGATCCATATTTTCCATTCTTGTTTGGTTTGATTGGTGTATGTCTCATTTCTTAAACTTTTCTTGTATCAAGACTTAATCTTCTCTCTTAAGCTTTTTGTTTGCTGATGATAACTTTTGCTCGTCGTTAAAAAAATTGCCATATTGACATTAAAAGACATGTCCTCAGCAAATTGTTTCTCACTTATAAGGGACATGATCTTAGAATATTGATCAGAAGTAAGAAAATGTTGATAAGCCTTATCCACATAACATGAAGAAGCGTTAGAAGACTCATTCACATGTGAAGCAACAACATAAGTATTATTTGAAAACTTGTTAGTACTGTTAAAATCATTTTTATGTTTAAAATATTTGGGAAATCCAATTAATTTGTAACATCTCTCAATGGTATGGCCTTTTGAGACCACAATGGTTGCATTGAAAAACCTGTTTTTTACCTTTGGATTTCCTAATGTCATTAGTTTTACTAGCAAAAAGCAAAAGATTAAGTTATATTGGAAGACACAATTATAGAACCATGTTTCAGATTAGACTATTCTCTAGAAACAATTGAAAAAGTAGTTTTCACGTTAGGGAAATGTTCAAGAAGAAAAAATATGACTCTTAACCTGACTAAAAGAGTCATATGAACCACTAAGAAACTGCATTAAACTCACTAACTTTGAATGATTATTAATTTGAGTTGCACCTTCACATGTACAATCATTTAAATTAGTAAAACCATCAAATTCCTTCCAAATAGCATAAAGTTTATCAAAGTAATCAACAATACTTAAGCCACTTTGAGTAAGAGTATTAATACGCATACGCTGATGCAAGTTAAACACAATTAAGCCATCAACCTTATTATATGTATCAAACAGTTCACTCCAAATATCGAGAGAAAATTTGGAACAAGCATGTACAACACATATAGACTTAGATAAAGATCATAAGATCCAAGAACAAACAATAACATTTACTCTATCCCACTTAAGTGACTTAACAAGACCATCCTTCATTTTAACAATAGTACCATCAACAAATCTAATTTTATTTCCAGCCCTTAGCGCTCTTGTCATTGAGCTCCTCCAGATCCTAAAATTTCCAGTTCCAAGAAGTTAAAAACTAATAATAATGGTAACTGTATTGTCAAATGGATGAAAATAAAGAGGATCATCAAAATCAATAGTTTCAATTTTATTAGACGATTCATCAGTTTAGGGAGTACTACCAGTCATATTTACAAGACAAAAAACCTACCAATCAGATCAAACAGAAGATTCACACAAATACACATAATTCAGAGCAACACACAGAAATCAACCAGGATTAACCCAAACAAACAACAGGTGTGCGAAACTTACACTGATTCAACAAAGAAACTCTGCAAACAACAATAATTAGCCCAAACAAAAAACAGGCGTGCGAAACTTATAGTGATTCCACCAAAAAAGCTTTGCAAGAAGCAAGGTAGTTTTGTTAGATCAACAAGATCAAACACTGTAGCAGAACGACATTCAAATGCTAGGAATCACCTACGTTTATAGAACTCGTTTGCACAAATTTAGCTACAACGAAAAGGCTTAGTGTTGGTCATTAGGATAACAATAATCAACCTAATCGTTTACTACCAACCCCTCGTTTACTACTAAACACTGAGACGAAGAACTACCGAAGATGACAACGCCAACAAACAACAATCGCAGATCGATCAATAAGCCTTCAAACACCAAGAACAGACCCAATTAAGCATAAAAAACCTATATCAACCAAAAGGACAACAAACCTAGATCTAGACGTGAAATAGCAAGAAATCAAGAACAAGCAAAAGCTCGCTCTGATACCATGAACAAAACACTAAAAACCGACAACATCAACAATTCTTTTATTGTAAGTAAAAAACCAGATGGGTTGAAAAAGACTTACAATGGAAAACTCACTATAATTCTCAATCACTCAATACAACAATACTCACTACAACACACCGCCACTGTCGAGATTTTACTAGTTTTATAATTTATATAATGTATCTTTACATATAAGTTAAAAAATAAAGTAAAATCAAGCAAAACAGATAAAAGGGTAATTTTATCATTTTATATGTATTCCAACTTTATTTCATGCAAACCATACAAAATCTAGAATTAATTCTAATTCCATTTCCTGTCAACCAAACATAATATGAAAATTAGATTTAAATTCCTTACTAATTCTTTTTTCAATTTCTTCAAAAACATTATGCGAACAAAACAACACCATAATATAATTCTCAAACTTAAGGATAAAAGTATTTATATTCATAACCCTATCAAATCCAATCTAATCCAATATGATCCGACCCGGCCCAATCCAACACAACCTAATATCCTAAACAAATGTAGTCTTGCTATGCATTTTGGTGTGGTAAGTGTACTTGAAACCCGACCCAATACGTGAATATGTATATATGATAAACCTGCTGGGCTATAAAAGATATGGGCTGAAAGCCTGAAAGCGGGCTAGGTAGGTTGGATGGGCTATTTATGGGCCTCTTCTACATAAAACACAATCTCGAACAAAACCCTAGCAATATTTACAGATAAAGCTTTACGCCATTTCGATTCTTGCCACCGTTTCTGCAACCTGCTCATCTAACAATGGTAATCTCTCCCCCTCTACATCCTCTATATCTTACACACACACATACACACACGCACAATGAACAGAAGAGCAGATTTCGACGTTGTTTTGTGATTTCTCGTTTTGATTCTTTGACGATGGTGTTCTTTTTAAGTGTAGGCCTCAGAGAGGAAGCTTGCGAACCCAATGAGGGAAATTAAGGTTCAGAAACTCGTCCTCAATATTTCAGTCGGAGAAAGCGGCGATCGTCTCACCCGTGCTGCCAAGGTATTTATTTACTCCCCATAAAATTTTCAAACCGAGTTTTAGATTTACACTCTGTATCTTGCGATTTTGACATTATGTGTGTGATGAATACGATTTAGGTTTTGGAGCAACTGAGCGGCCAATCCCCTGTTTTCTCAAAGGGTAAGAGCTATTTTCATCCACATTAACATCATTCCCGTTTCAGTTTTCTATCTTGTATCATATGTTCTTTTCTTTGAGCTCGTTTAATCTGAATCTAAGTATAGAAAATAGTCCGATGGTACAGTTAGTGGTTAAATGGGATTTCGTTTTTATCCACCGATATCAGTTATTATAAAAGTTACTGTAAAAGGCGTGATTCTGTTTTCATGAATGGCGAATTGGTTTGCTCTCAAGCTCAGACAATCAAATAGCTTAGTTTGGGAGCTTTTTGTTTGATTAGAAAGTCCATTACAGACTTACAGTTTATTTCATCACAAGGCACGATTGAAATTAGAACAGTGTACTTGTTGCGTGCTCTTTCTTGCCCAATATAGTTTGATCCACACATAGTTCAATCAATCTGAAGCACCTAAAATACCCTTTCAATAACAATGTAATAGGAGTTACCACGCCAAACAAAGTTACCTATGACTAATTGTTTTATTTTGATTTTTACAGCAAGGTACACTGTGAGGTCTTTTGGGATCAGGCGTAATGAAAAGATTGCATGTTATGTCACTGTTAGAGGAGACAAGGCCATGCAACTTTTGGAAAGTGGTTTGAAGGTGAAGGAATACGAGTTGTTGAGGCGCAACTTTAGTGACACTGGATGCTTTGGATTTGGTATTCAAGAGCACATCGATCTTGGTATCAAGTAAGTCTATCTTTGTCTTAATGGATAAAGGAAAGGGACTGAATGAGACTAAATGACCATTTTTATAGCTTAATGGATTAAGTGAATTATTATTTTTATGATGATAGGTATGATCCGTCTACGGGTATCTATGGTATGGATTTCTTTGTGGTTCTAGAACGTCCCGGATACCGTGTTGGCCGTCGTCGTAGGTGCAAGGCGCGTGTTGGGATCCAACACCGAGTGACAAAGGATGATGCAATGAAATGGTTTCAAGTGAAATACGAGGGTGTCATTCTCAACAAATCTCAACAAATTGGAGCTTAGATTTATTATCAATATTATTGTCTTCTTTTTGTAAAATTTTGGAGTTTGGTTCTTGAAAGTTTTACTATTGAGGATTATGGTTAATGTGAGTTTTGTTTTGTTTTGGACCCTTTTGAAGGAAATATGAATTTTAGTTATGCTTTTGATTTAGACGATCTTTAATAAAAATCAATCTAACGAAGAAAATGTTACATTTTTTTTTGAAGAATGTAAAATTCCATTATTGATTGAAATTTTATGCTTTTAATGATAAAAAGACCAATGAAGACGAGAGTAACCTAAAAGTTTAGGCTCTATTTGTCATACATGACATAATATGATAATTTTATATTGAGTTTAATGTGCATTTGATTAAGATACGAGTGATTTCGGTAATGGCACAGTAGAGTGTTTCAAGTTCTAGTTTGGTAAAAGAGAAATCGGCATCCAGAGAACTAGTGGATAACTTTTTGGTTTGATAGCAACTCTGGTGGAAGTAAGTATGTAAGATATTAATCTTCCATGTGTTTTGCTATCTATCAAAAAAACAGGTATCCATTCCAAAAATTTTGGACAAAGTGTAGACGTTTAAGGAATATGTTGGAAAACTTATGGTATATTATGTAACTTTATTTTGATTAGTAATAAATTTACGGGTTATTATAGTAATTAAACATGACATATTACATAAGGCAAACTGCCTTAAATACGTCTTTCACGGATTTTGTGATCTGAATGTCAATCACAATAATAGCTTAAGCATCTTGCTTCTGAACAATAATATGTTTATGAAAGGTGCTTTTGGTTCGTGGTAGATGTGTAGCCTCATCATCACCACCTATATGCTTATCTTTTATTTTTGCTATTTCTCAAATGAATGGTCAAAATGTGAATGTAATTAAGAAATGTGGTCATATTGGTGAATATCCCCAGTTTAATACATTTTTTTTGTTAAGTACATTGCGATCTACATAAAACATTCATGCACAGCCATGATCTTCCATGAACAGCAGCAAAATTCTGCATGAAAATATCAGACAAGAAGATACCACAGAGCTCAAGTCTTCAATATGTCCATTTTGCAGTATCAATTTATCAATAGCAAATCAGGACTGTAGTCAAACCAACTACCTAGTAAAATTCATCACAGTAAAAAAAACAATGAGAAATAGCAACATACTTCCATTTACTTGTATATTATGACATTATACTCTGAAAGTTCTACCCAATTAAACTTGAGTAAAAAATTATCGATTAACGATAATTTTTCATCTATTTTTCCTTTTAAAATCTTTAGGACCAACAAGATCCTCCATACATTCATTCATCTCCTCCAACAACTTTCCCGCCAATTCCAACTTCCCCAATCTCTTCAAATTACTAATCATGGATCTATAAACATAAATCGAAGGACGAATTTGCCCTCGCTTCATCTCTTCAAAGAGTCTCAATGATTCTTCCACATTTCCAGATCGGAAAAAACACTCAATCAAAGCAGTATAAGTCCTCAAATCAAATTTCAATCCCACTTCCCCAACCTCTTTCATAACCACCACACACAAATCAAATCTCCCGACCTTTCGCAAACTATTTACCACTGTATTATACGAAACAATATCCGGGGGTATTTCTGTCTTTTTCATATTGGAAAACACATCAAGCATTTCATCCAATCGTCCCTCTTTACCATATACCCCCAAAATGGTATTATAAGTAAGCAAATCTGGTTTACATTTTAAACTCTTCATATTATCAAAAACAAGAATCGCATTATGTACGTGTCCACATTCTGCAAATCCGTAAATAATCCGGTTAAAAACTGTCACATCTCTAGTGTAATTTAAGTCTGAGATTTCTTTAAGGAAAGATAAAATGAAAGTTAAATCGTTGCTCTTGGAAATGGCTTTGGTGGTGTAAAAATAGGTGGTGGAGTTCATAGGAAGGTGGTTAATGTACATATGTTTGAAAATATGGGCGGCGATTTTTGTATTGTTGTTTTCACTGGCGGCGTTGAGGAGGAGATTGTATGATGGGAGGATGTCGATGCCATTGATGGCGTGTTTATTGTGTAATAATTGGAGGAGAATAGTAGCTGCTTGGAGGTTTTTTGTTTTACAGAGATTATTGATGTGATTGGTGCATAATTCGTTGATGGAATTTGGGGTTTTTTGTAACTCAGATATGATTTTGTCCAAGATTTGATGTGCTAATTCTTCGTCCTCAATGGATGCTTGAGTTACCAATGAACGGGTTTTGAATGTGCAGGTTCTTAGCATGGGATATAGTGGACGTATCCATGGAAGTTTAACTGGGGTTGATGTGATTTGCATCTGCATAAGTAAGATTAGTTAAAATTTACAGTACATTATGGTCGACATTATGTATTTAGACTAAACAAGCTGTAGTCTATTGTGGAGATTTTTGCAACAATGGTGGTTTCTTTTTAACAAAAAAAAAAAAACATAGCTCAAGTACTCCCAATCAAATGCAAAATGCGTACAAAAAACAGAGCCAAAACACATACGACAAATGAGAATTTGAAAAACCCTAATGAAAACGCAAGAATATCAATCACCGTGAAGCAGAAATGGATGTTAACAAGCACAAACCCTAGAGTGAAATGCGAAATTTTAAATTTTGCAAAGAGAAGAAAAACGACTTACATGTAGTACCTTCGGAGAGAAATCTGATTCTCCACGATCAGAACTCTGGTAGCTACAACTATTGCATAAGGAGGAAATACACAACAAATAGGGGGTTTTCCATCGGGGAATAACCACTATTTTCAAGCGATTCGAAGCAGATAGCATCTAATCCGACAATATTTTTTCGATTTTTAGGGTTTATCTAGGGTTTAAGCAGAATGTCAGCATTTTGAATAGTCGGTTACAAATGTCATCGCTCAATTGTCCATTTTGCCCCTGACGACCTTTTGGGGTATACGAGGGTTCTTGCCATAGCGATTGATGCTGTTTTGAAGTTGAATTGAAACTGGAATTGCTAAAAGGTTTCCCGCAATTGAGTTGGGAGTAAAATTCTGAGTGCGGTTGCTTTGGTGTTGCCCTCAGATTTCTTTGCAATTGTGGGATATTTCCAACTGCCCATTAAATCTTAGTTGCAATATAACAATATTTGGTTAATCCCCCCTTTGTATGTGCTTTTATTGGTTCTGGTGCAGATTTTAGCTGAGTTCATTTATAGTAGTCTTCAATACTTCAATTTAGGGGTGAGTTGGGTTTCTGAACCAGCCAGGATAGAACTGATTCGCAATCGAAAAATGAGAATCAAATTTATGGATACGAAGGAATTGAGAACCGAACCGACATATTCGGTTTCAAATCGGTTCCGGTTCGGCTCCAACGAGTATTTTGCACACTCCTAGTTGTTAGGGTCCGGAACCGAAAAATCGAGAATCGAATATATGGATATGGAGAAACCGAGAACTGAACCGAATTACATATTGGATTCCCAATTGGTTTCTATTCCGGTTCGGTTCCAACAAGTATTTTTATTCAACCCTAGTCTTCATGGGTGTTTGATGGTGACACTATCTTGACTTTGAACATCTTGTATTGTTGTCCAGCTAACTTTTCTTTTTTTATTTATGCTATTGCTTGCTATTTTAAGAAAATGTCGTGAAAGTCTCACAAATCTAGAAATTTGATCCGCATACATGTTTGATTGCATCGAATTTAAGTTTGGTGTACAAGATTTTGTTTTATAGATAATGAGATTTAAGCCTAATGTGGCAATCGTGACTTGTGGGTTCATGTCGTGTCAAAACAGTAAATTGGTTGAAAGTGCTTGACGCTAACCCGACCCGTTTAATTAATGTGTTGTGTCAATCTGTTCATTTTCGTGTCGAGTTCGTGTCGGGTTTCACGTTAGGGGTATACCTTGTAATGTGTTGTGTCATGTGAGACTGAAATACTAAACATGTTGAAAGAATAGGAGTTAGGTAGGCGGACAATAAAAATTAATAGTTGGGAGACGGAATACATAAAGTCATAGCAAGTTCAGATGACTAAATAACCTTAAATACCCCTGTAAATGCACTCAACAAAGTCTAGAGCCGTTCATACTCAAAAGAACCAAAATATTGGGACAAAATGGCATAACTTCAACATCTAATCTAGATCTATCAATGGAGGCATAAAGGTACAAACTTTATACCTTCTGGAGATGAATCAGGGAGAAGAACTTCCAAATCCAAGGTTCACTCAAGCTTCCAAGCACCACCACCACCTTCTTCTTTCTTTAAATGCACCCAAAAACACACTTTTAAGCTTACAATGCACTAATATGGAGTTAGGGTTTCAAGGGAGTCGTTTGGAGGAATGGAGGGTGGGAATGGAAAGTGGTCATGAAGGTTAAGGTGTAACGCCCGCAGATTCGGGCTAGTCAATTCAGAGACGATAAGCGTCAAAAATGACTTTTTGATAGAGGATTATTTAGAATAAATAATCTTAACTAAGTTGTAGTATATGTGTGTGAAATATTTGTTATTGCCTGAAATACAAGTATTGATTAAAGTATTAAATATATGTGTGTGAAATATTTGTTATTGCCTGAAATACGTGTTAAGAGCATATATGATAATATATGATGATTTAGGATACAGAGTAAACCTAAATTAATTAAGAGGAATATTGGGTAGTATATTCTTATGAGTACGAGTGAGATATACACAGATGGTAGAACTTTAAAATATGTCATCAATTCGAGAGCATGGATTAGACAGTCATTCGTCCCTAGTCCGAGAGTATGGATAGGACATAGTTATTTGTTATTAATCCGGGAGTATGGATTAAGACGTAGTCAATTGTCCCTAGTCCGAGAGTATGGAATGGGCATAGTTATTGATCCGGGAGTATGGATCAGACATACCCGATCCGGGAGTATGGATTAGGTAAAGAGGTAAATTTCAGATCCGGGAGTATGGATTAGGTAAAGAGGTAAATTTTGGATCCGGGAGTATGGATCAGGTAAAGAGGTAAATTTTAGATCCGAGAGTATGGATTAGGTAAAGAGATTAATTTTAGATATGAGAGTATAGATCGTGTCGTTGTGAGAATCGACGGGGTAGGGTAAAGTTGCTTATATATTGTGAAATTGTATATTTTGTGAGTTCTAAAATATATATATGATATAACATTGTGGGATTGAAATCCCTATGTACTCACCAGGTTTCCCAACCTAAATCACTCAATATATTTGTATCACAGGTGTCGATATGAAGCTATATTACACTGAGAGATTAAATGAGATTTAAATCACTAGTGTAAATGAATGTAATATCTGTTTATGCTTATGTTTCTGTATTGACGATGACATCTCAATGTTTTAATATAAACAAAATACATTTCTTCGGAAATGCTTTGATGATATATTTATCATGTTTTTCTGGGAACAAATTCCGCAATATATTTCTTTAAAAATATACTCTGATTTTCAAATAAAGCATAAACAAATCGGTCTTTTCTGGCCGTGAAATTGGGAATGTCACATAAGGTGCTTAAATAGGGCTCAAAACCCCAAATTTAGGGTTTGGACCCTGGCCGAGTACGCCCTGCCTACTCCTATCTACGACTCACATAGTTTATTAAAGGCCTGCCAATATTTTCCCCATCTACGCAGCGCGTAGAGGCTATCTACGTCATGCGTAGATCGAAACTCATTATTCATACTTAACAAATATATCAAGGAAATACTTGCAAGGACCGGGTGTTACAGTTCTCTCCCACTTGAATCATACATCGTCCTCTAAGTCCGGTGCCATGAATAAATCTGGATAGTGCTCGCGCATCTCCGCCTCGGGTTCCCATATTCACTCATAACCCTTCCGATGCTACCACTGAACCTTGACCAAAGGTACTACCTTGTTGCGCAAGGCCTTCGTCTTCTTACCCAAAATAGACAGCGACCTCTCCACATAATTCAGGCACTCATCAACCTAGATACCGTCCAAAGGAACCACTACTGAATCGTCAACCAGAAGATGAGAAACATGGAAGGTGTTGTGAATCTGGCTAAGCTCCTAAAGTAGGTCCAATTGGTAAGTTACCCTGCCTACCCTGGCCACTACTCGGAAAGGTCCAATAAATCGAGCCCCAACTTTCCCCTATTCCTGAAGCGTATAACACCCTTCCAGGGTGATACCTTCAGCAAAACCATATCCCCGAACTGGAACTCTAACTTGGGGCGTGGTCTGCTAGCATAACTCTTCTGTCAGCTCTAAGCCGTCTGCAAACTCTGACTGATCTGCTAAATGAGCTCTGTTGTCTGGAGAACTACCTCAATCTTCCCCATGACCTGGTGGCCGACCTCTCTCTAGCATAACGACGTACGACACTTCCTACCGTAGAGAAGCTCGAAAGGCGACACACTAATACTAGAATGATAACTGTTGTTGTAAGTGTTAGGATCGAGACACTTAACACACGACTCTAAACACACACACAGCTCACGAAAAACAAGAACACAAGGATGAACACGAGGGATTTAACGTGGTTCGGTCCTTCTCTGACCTACGTCCACCGGTAACTAGGAGTTTATATTTCTTGGTGCTAATCTGCACTCACTCTTTGTTGCTTATTTTTTACAATACAGATGAGACTCATATATAGAGTCTGAAGTAAACAATTGAACAAGAAAAGCAGCCATGAAACATGCATCCGGGAAATATGGATCACCTCTCCTTTTCCACCTTTTTGACTTGCTTTTCTTCCATGTTTTCTGCCATGTTTTCTGCCATGTTTTCTGCCTTTTGACCAGCCCAATGGCTTCACACTCAACAATCTCCCACTTGAAGCCACAAAACAATCTTCACCATATCTTCAACTGTGTATCTGTATTTCTGTAAAAACTTTTGATCTTGACTCCTTCCTAGTTACCCTGGCCTTCTCTTCAATTTACCTGAAGGCTAGTTGAAGCTTCCGTTAGCTCCAACACATCAGTCATGACTAAGTCTGCCACTGACCTGTTCTCTGTCTCCACCGGCTCCCACTGAAATGAACTGCCCGATCCTGGAACATCTTGAGAACAAACGACACTCTCCATATGAAGCAGATAATCTGGAGATACTTTTACAGATGGAATACTGGTTCTCTTAACCCACTGTGTTCTGGGTATTCTAGCTGAAGCACAACCCTTGATCCCACTGCTATGAATGCCCTTGACTGGTTTTTCTGAACCGTTCCAAACACGTTCAACCTGAATCTGACCTGTGACTCTGGGTTTGCCATCTGCAAAGCAAACCTTCTTCTGTCCACGAGACTCTATGAACCGGATTTTGTTTTTCTTCTGAACTGGGACGATTACTCCCTCAGATGGTAATCTGACCATATATAATGAACCCTTCTTATGTCCACGAGCTATCACAAGATTTCCTTTGACAACCTTCCACTGCCCATTCCTGAACTTAACCTCGTGTCCCTGTTCATCCAACTGCCCAACAGAAATCAATTGTTTCTTCAGACTTGGAATTACCCGGACATCCTTCAAAGTCCATGGACCAACTGGAGTCTTCAAAACTAAGTCACCTATGCTCGTCACATCAAGAACCTCATCGTTCGCCAGTCTTACCTTACCAAAATCTCCTTCTTTTAGATTCTGCAGTGCTTCACGGCTGTGGGTAGCGTGAAATGAAGCACCCGAATCCATAACCCAGGAATCGACATTGCTCTCCACACTACAGATCAAAACATCATCATCTGAATGGTCTACTGCAGCGTTAACTTCTTTCTTGTCTTTTGGACATTGATTCCTGAAATGTCTAACCTCTTTACAGTTCCAACAAGTCACATCATTT